TTATCAGTTTTTATATAATATGTATCAGTCTTTTTATAATAAATAGGCTAAACCCCTGGTGACAGGAATGTAAAGTTGTGATATTGACTAGTCAGAGAATGGCTATTTCCTATGAAGACCCACAGAATGAGGGTGAGTGTTCTGTGCTCTGGGTGTATCACCTTAATAGGCAAGGAAGAAAGACTGGGGCAGGATGAGTTAGGTTATTGACAAATAACAACTTCTCCTATGAAAGTGGGGGTGGGGAGCAGTGGAATCTCCTTTCTCAGATATCTGTCTGTCTTGCTCAGCTGTCTGAGGGAGCTCTGGTGTACAACTGACCGAGAAGAAGAAAATGAACGGGATTATCTCATGGGGAGCCTCTAATTGTGCCAGCCTTGATTCGGCGTGGCAGGATGTTGCCTTCTAGAAGGCGGCTGAGCCTTCTTGGACTCTCTACTGATGAACTTGCCATTTGCCGTAATCCTACTGCCATCTTGACTCCCCCACTTCTTTCTTTTGCCAGTCAGTCACTAGGGAGCCAGGCCTCCCCTGAAGTCCCTTTGTGAGGTAAGTGACAGTTCCTTGTGTCTAGGCTTCCCTCTCCATTCCCGCCCTGGTTGAGGCCCTTGTTTCTGCTCATACACAATATGGTAGTGGTTGTCATGTTGTCATTGCTGCCTCCACCTCCAGCCTCTTGCTCTCTTGTTTTTTCAGTATTTTGTTTGTTTGTTTATTTAGAGTGCACAAGCGGGGGAGGGGCAAAGAGAAGGAAAGACAGAATCCCATGCAGGCTCGGTGTCATTAGCACATAGTCTGATGTGGGGCTCAAATTCAAACTGTGGATCATGACCTGAGCCAAGATCAAGAGACAGACACTTAACTGACTGAGCCACCCAGGCGCCCCCTTTCCAGCCTCTCTTTTGCCACCCCCTTGCTCTGTTGTCTCCACTGTGTTGCCTCGGTGGTACAGCCTAAGCCCAAACTATAGGCCTGATGATTTCTCCTTCTCCCTAACATTCCAGTCAAATTGCCTTCCCTGCCTTAACCTCAAGCCCTTACTTTCATTGATTTTGCATGTGACTGGATTGCCCCACTGCCTTCTCTGCTTCCTAAAAGCCTGCCTGTTGTGCAAGGCTCTGTTCAAATGCCAGCACATTCTTGAAGTCTTCTTTGATAAGCTCACAAAAGATGCACTTTGTGTATCTCTTCTAAGCATGTGTTGGTGATATTTACTTATGGATAGATTTGTATGGGCTTTGCCTACTGGCTAAAAACCACTGTTTATTCATCTTTCTCTTTCTCAAATGATAAGGAAAGTGCCTTGCACCAAAAACTCTAGGAATGAATCAACACAAGAAAAAAAGCCTTGCCCAGATATTTTGGAATGAAGGCTCTAAAATTAAATGGGTAACCAAGTGGATATTATGATGCCCTCACTGTAATGTCTCCTATACTTTAAAGAATTATATTTCAGAAAGAAGCCTGGGTGGGGAAAATAGTGATTCCCTGAAAAGTTGCCTGAAAGTTGCCTGAAAGTCCTTGTATATATAATTTATATTCTCATATATGTACATGTCTATATGAGGTTATAACAATGAAATGTGTCAGCTGAAGTCACTTTCTCATCCTCATATTACTTAGAGACAATTTGGATAATATTGTATATTATCTGAGTGGTATTCTTCATTTTCCAGAAAAAAAAACATTAAAAATTTGGGTCTCCCTCCAGTTTTTTTTCTTATAACATTTCTTCTCTCTGCCCTCACAGTTATGTAACCTGGAATTTCATTTATACTGTTTTGGGGTGTGGCTTGTCCCAGCATCTCTGTTCACCCAAGGATGGGATTCAAACATAAATAGTTCTTTTTTTCCTCTCCTCTCTTCTCCCCTCCTCTCCTCTCCCCTCCTCTCCTCTCCTCTGTTTATTTATTTTTGAGAGAGAGAAAGAGAGTGTCGAGCAGGATAGGGGCAGAGACAGAGGGAGACACAGAATCTAAAACAGGCTCCAGGCTCCGACTGTCAACACATAGACTGATGTAGGATTCGAACTCCCTATGGGGGTGGGGAGTGCATGGGGCACGACCTTTGATGCAGGGTTCAAACATGAATGGGAGATCATGACCTGAGCAGAAGTCTTAACTGAGCCACCCAGTTGCCCCCCTTCTAGAAATTTCACTTGGTGCTCTAGTGCTCACACCTTGGGCAACTGCTCAGGTGTGCTCAGCCATTACTCCTTTATGGAAATGCTCTCTGGGCTGTTCTTCCACCATAAATCATGGCTGAGGGCTTGGTACTGGCTCCTGTAATCTGCTTTGGCCTGTAACAAATGGTTGCAGACAGAATTGCAATTCCACGATGTTTTAGGGGCTTGCAATAAAGCACCTAACAGCCTTTACCACCTCCTTTCCACCCACCATTGTGAATGTGGGTGGGAGGGATCTATTTGAACTTGATAAACAAAACCCATCCATTCCAAGGATACAGTTTGCCAGCCTCGGTCAGATGACATCCTCTAACAATAAACCTGGCGGAGCAAAACCATCAATGCAATGTTTCTTTGAAAACATTGCAGGGATGTCTCAATGTTTTCCTATTTGGTTCAGAAGAGGAAAATGAGAACTCTATGCATTCAGGGTCTCATTGAACATCGATGTACTTCAGAATTTATATCTGTAATTTTCCACACATTTGTGCTCTTGGCAATGAGATGCTCACTCTAAGATCTTATGGTCTTTTGGACTATGAAAAACACTACTATTTCTCTTTTCAAATACCATTTTATACATTGAGACATAATGAAGGCTCTATGATACCTACGTAAAAGGTCAACAAATCTTCCACAATAGAGAAAATTCCTTATATTGCCGCATATAAGTTGTCTAGATTTTCCATTTTTTCCCATCTTAAGAAGTTTCCTCAACTCTCTTTGCTACATATGGAATAGGTGGTAAGTGCTACTGCTGTGTTTGTATAACACATTTTCATACTCAGTTTTGTCCTTGAACAGGTTTTACCCTTAGCTAGAAACCTGCCTGAACCTTAGGGAGCTCATATTTAAAAAAAATTTTTTTTAATGTTTTATTTATTTCTGAGAGAGAGAGAGAGTGAGACAGCGTGAGCAGGGGAGCAGAGAGAGGGAGATACAGAATCTGAAACAGGCTCCAGGCTCTGAGCTAGCTGTCAGTACAGAGCCCAACATGGGGCTTGAACCCATGAACTGTGAGATCATGACCTGAGCTGAAGTTGGAAGCTTAACCAACTGAGCCACCCAGGTGCCCCAGGGAGCTCATATTTAAACTGCCTGATGGTTTTAGATCAATGTTATTGACGAGTATTCTTATTCATTTGGTCTCTTTTTTCCATACAACAAGCTGTTGAGTCAGTCTTACTGAAAGTTTAAGGATGCTATTCAAAGAGAAGGTTGAATACAAAGGAATATTCTCAGCTCATTCATGGTGGCCACACAAGACAAGACAGCTCTTTACGAAAGTGCCAAGGATGTCTGCTTTGGGCAGCACCTGAATGACACAGGAAGCCATTGCCATTCGGCAGGGAATACTGCTGAATGAGTACAGGGAAGGCAAGGAAATGGACATGTTCATTTCTACATCAGGCTTGTGGGTTTCATGTGGTCAGAAATTCCTTTTGTGTCTTAGACTTCTGAGCTACAATGTGGAGATGACTCTCCTGTGTTATGATCTGTCCTTTACTTGATTCTCAGAGGCCTGCCAGTTGAAAATATCACCTCTCAAGAATCTTCTCAATGTAACATCACATCCTTAAAGGTAAGGCATTGTTAATAGGATGAATAAGAACTAAAGTTAACATGGACTCTACCAGTTCCCTCAGATATTACCAACTCTGCACATTGTTCAAATGGAAACATTGTTACACTCAAGTTAACAGAAATGAACCTCAAAATTCTGCTTTGCTGGATGATACCTCTGAAGCCAGAAGCCATTGGCCTTCTGGTTATAGCCAATCCCCACCTTGAACGTCAGCTTGCTTTGAGTCTGTGGCTAAGCCAGTGTTTAGTGTGCTACAGGTCAGTTCTGCCATTGGCAAATGAAGCCAGCCCAACATCCATTCTGGAAGTGTCAGAAAAGGTCTTACTGCCCAGAACATTTTGGAAGAAAGCCATGGTAAGTAATGTCGTGGTGTCAAGGGCTTGGCCCTCTTCTTGACTAACTGTTCTTCCCCAGAGAAATACAGCACACAGATGCAGGAAACTTCTGAGTGATCTGAGAAGGTCTACGATTTTTTACACTGTCAAGAAACTGTTATGAGATTGCACGCAGCCCTCTGCTTCTTTGAGAGATATTGTGAGTGCTGTTTAAAAACAAACTAAACAAAATGGAAGGGACAATAAAAGTAAAACAAACTGTACATCCTAATAAATATGATGCAACTGTTAGTCTGTGCTCTGTCTCCCAATTTTGAAGGGAGACTGCTTGTGCTTGGGCAGAGGGGATGGTCAGTCATTTCACTATGTTATAAATGAGGTGCGGGAGATCCAGAGAGTTGAGGCCAGGGCCTGAGGTGTGTTGGGCAGGCTGGACTTCCCCTGACGTGCTGACTCTCAACTGTCTGTACTTTTTATTAGATCACACGGCCTCTGTCAGAGCTCCTAATGGTTGACTATTGGAAAAGATACTTTAATAACAATTTTACTTCCTCACTCAAGGGTAGGTCCCAAAGCTGATGCCCTTGACTTTGTCTATCTTTCCATGAGAATGCAGATACTCTTTGACCCCGTGTTTTTGCTTTTCAAAGGTTTCCCTAAGGAAATAGTCAAAGATATAGGGGAAGATATTGCTACAAGTATCTTTTTTGTAGTATTTTTCATAATAGTGGAAACATTACAAAAATAAGAGAAGTCTAAATAGGGGATACATTAAATGATAGGTCTAAATAACAATGGACTAGGGAGTCATGCAAAATGGTGTATTAAAGGATATTTAATTTAGACCAGTAGGTCTAAAAATACTATCAAATGAAAAAAGCAGATTCCAAAATAAAATGGTTACATTTGCGAAAGAGAGGAAGAGTTCTTTTCCTTCCTGATTATTTCTGTTTTTGAGATCTTCTATAACATGTATTAATTCGTTAAACTCAGTAAAAGTTATCTCAAAAAAGAGCTCCCGTTAGGGCATCATTTGAGAACCAACACAGCCACAGAATGACAGTAGGGACATTGTCAAAACTGAGATTTAAGATACATTGTTTCTAATTCCTGTTCTAGGAGCTCACTGCAGAACTTTGGCCTTTCAGACAACTCTCTGAGCAGGTGATGAGGAGACCTTAACGCAGAAAGTGTCCCAGGCTTGCAGCCTCCTCTGACTGAGGTTACTTGGGGGAGGGGGGTCCCTTCTCTGTCCTTCCTTCCCCTTTTCCTGTCATGTTGGCCTTCAAAGGGGGTGAGGACCCTTGAGGACAGATGCCATTACCTGCCAGGAGAATATGTATCTATTTGGAAATAAATCCAAGAGTGAGGCTAAGGCCTCTAAATGCTTTCTCTTAGGAGGAATCCGCTAACGAGGAATTCAGGAAAATCTAATCAACCCTTATATTTTCTCCTCTCAGGTCTCTGGCAGGAACTAACGTTTGAGGCTGTCCTCCCTCACTCTCATGGGCTCCCTCTCCCTGTTGTGTGTTCTCCTGTTTCAAGGTGGAGGCACCCATTTTCTGGGGTGAGTGGATTGCGGAAAGGTCAGACGGAGAAGAATGATGAAAAGGCTAAGTCAGAAAAGAAATTTCAGCTGAAAACTGTTTACTCTTTTCTAGGAAATAGAGGTGAAAATAATTGACCGGATTTTGTTGCCTTCTGTTCAGCAGTCCAAACGGAACTTGGAGCTTGCTGTGAGGTACTAAGGGCTTAGCTCTGGCTTTATGATTTTCAAGCATGCTCCTACTCGCATGAGATCTACCTCAGAATCGGCTGGATCCAGTAACACTTTCTTTTAAGAACTGAATTTATTTTGCACCTTCTCTTACACGGAGGAAACCAGGTTTACTGGTTGAATATGGTGGTTCATTCTTAGAATGCAGTCACTTTACACAGTAAATATACATAGTTAAATGGAGCAGTTCAATATAAATTGAGGCAAAAGAGGCTGTGGTTGGTTAAAAGAACTTATTTCATCCTGCAATGCTGAAGACTGGAAGGGTAGGAATTCTTTCTTAAAGAAGTCCCCACCCCCCTCCTCAGCCCAGCCTCCGCTTTCTCTATTGGAGCTCTTCTCATTTGAGTGTATGTGCCGCGATTATTTTTAGGTTCCTTCAGTCACAGGTTTTCTTTTTCTCTTTTTCCTAATACACCCAACTTTTGGATGATATGTCTTGACTCAGCTATTTCCTTTCTATTCATTCGTTCATCCATCCATTCATTCATCCATCCATCCATCCTTCCATCCACCCACTCACTCATACAATGCACCTCAAGGCACCATTGGGTGTGAAGCATGTGGCACCCCAGCTAGCAGACATGGCTTCTGTCCTCAGGAAGCAAACGGTTCTCTCATAGGGCTAGTATGGGGCTCTGGACTTCATAAGTGGTCCAGTAGCTAAGGAACGATGAGACAGATAAGACAGATAAATCCAGCAAATTTTTGCATAAGAAACAAGATCATAGGAAGGCACAAAGAATATTGTGATCTTCAGGTCACTTTTGCAATACTGAGCAACCTGGCAACGCATCTCCATTTACACCCCCTGTCACTGCGGTGAGCACCACCACCTGCCACCTGAGGCCCCTGATGAAGACAAAGGAACCCTTCTCTCTTGTCAGTGAACTTCTTTGGCGGGGGGATCAGGATTGTGTTCTCACAGCGTTTGTTTTGCAAGCTCCTACTTAGCTGGTGGGACGCTGGATATTCCTCCACCCCGCTGAACCTGCCCAACTGTCTCAAAGAAGCCTTTGTGAAAAGAAGTGGGATACAAAGGAATATAAATAAGTAAACCATCGAAATATCACCAGACTCAGGAACTGCCTTTCTACATATGCAGTCCTACTTCTGTACTCCCTGGTGGGACTCCAAAGCCAGATCCTCATTTCAAAATCAACCAAAGGCAAGAAACCTAAAAGCAATTTTAGAGGAGCAAATAGAACCTTGGTCAGAGAGAAGGATGCTAACGCCAAGTTTCTGGTAATGAGCGCCCTCTCCTACTGCTTGCTCCTTCAAGAAGCTCGTCACCTGTCATCCAGTTGCCCTAAGGGCTGTCTAACATCAGTGCAATTTACAAAATAAAGCTCAAGAGGTGCTTTGAACTCCAAAACTTAAGAGCTTCTGGTTCTCCTAAAAGCCCCATGTGGCATTTTCTTCTCATTTGGGGCAGTAAAAAGCACATAAAATTTACTATCTTAACCATTTTCAGTGTACTGTACAGTAGTGTTAACTATATGCACAGATTATTGTGCAACAGATCTCTACAACTTTCTCATCTTGCACAACCGAAACCCCTACGGCTGTTAAACAACTCCATTTGCCCCTCACTCCCAACCCCTGGAAACAAACATTCTGTTTTCTGCTTCTAAGACTGGATTACAGAGATACCTCACAGAAGTGGAATCATGCAGTATTTGTCTTTTTGTGACTGGCTTATTACACTTAGCATAATGTCCTGAAGGTTAATTCACGTTGTAGCATGTGACATGTTGACATGTAGAAGGGCTTTCTTTTTAAAGATTGAATGATATTCATGGTGTGTATGTGACAGGTTTTCTTTACCCATTCATCTGATGGACATTGAGGTTGCTTCCACCTCCTGGCTATTGTGAAGACTGCTGCAAAGAACATGGGTGTATGGAGGGAGTCAAAGGCAAGCTGAGAGCAAAGCACAACTTAGCAACTCCCTCCCCACTCCCAGGTGGGATGTGTGGGACATTCCTGGCACTCCTGTTTGCCCAAGAACAAAGGAAAGGGAAAAACCAATGGTTAACTGATAGACATCAGTCATTCAGGACATGAGTCTCCATCAGTTGGCAAATGTTTTAATGATTTACAAGGAAAAAGGCAATCTCCAGAAACCTAGAGACTCAGTTTCCTGGAGCCCTAACATCACCCTCCCCTCCACAGTGATGTGGGGAACAAATGCAAGAAGAAAATGTAAATAAAATTAAATTTCCTTATAACCTACAGCCCATTTGCAAATACTTGCGACAGGTGGAGTATAACATTTCTCCAGGGACTCCCTGCTGTCTTAATGTTAATGCTTTGCTAGAAGGAAAAACAACCTTAGCTTGTCAATAGCTAGGCCTCCTATTAGACAGTAGCTAAAGTCTTCTTTAGCATATGAAAGTTCTTTTGGAAACCTCCCTTTTGCCTTTACCTCCCCCAACTCCATGTATGTCATCAGTCACTCCTCACAAACCCCAGTACAGCTCTTTCTGTCCATAAGTCCTGTCTCTGTGCTTTAATAAAATCACCTTTTTGCACCAAACACATATCAGTAATTCTTTCTTGGTTGTTGACTCTGGACTACCACCACCACTCGAAAAGTGCATCAGATGTGCAAATATCTCTTCAAGATCCCATTTTCCATTCTTTTGGATATATATCTCCAGAAGTGAGATTGCTGGGTCATATGGCAGTTCTGTTTTGAATTTTATTGAGGAATCTCCATACCATCTTCCAAAGTGGTGGCACCATTTTACACTCCCAGCAACAGAATGAGGGTTCTAAGTTTTCTACCTCCTTGCCAATGCTTGCTCTTTTCTTTTCCTTTCTTTTTTATAGTGGCCAATAGACAGATGTCAGGTTTTGATTTGCAATTCCCTGCTGATGAGTGATGTTAAGCATCTTGCTGTATGTTTGTAGGCCATTTGTACAACTTTGTAGCTAAACAATAGTACCACCAGGGTTTTCTAGTTAGAGCTTGTAGGTGCCCTATGGCTTTGGCTGTAAAAAGACTGGAACTTGGTTTTACTGTATTTGACAACTGGAAGGCAATCAACAATCACTTACAAGCTGAGTAAGCAGTGAGATTTTTTTTGGTGTGGGCATCCCCTGATATTTCACTTTGAAAACAAGCTACTGTATTGATTACTGTATGCCCAGGGATAATAAGCTATTGATGGAAATAATGAACAGATGTATTTCACTTGGAAAAGATAATTTTTCTCCCTTTTGGCATTTTATATAAAAAAGGGGGGTATCTTGAATACAGAAAGAGATATTAAGAATTCCTGCTACTTGCTTTCTCTGTGTTAGTGACTTTCCATAATGAATGAGAAATTTATGTTTTGAAGGCCCTATGTTAACAAGGGATAATCTTTCTCCAGAAAAATCCAGGGTAAGAAAGCAAGTCCAAGTTGTCATATACAAGTTGACTGTGTCCCTGTGTTAATGTGGGGTTATAAGGGACAGTGGTCACTGTGTCACTGCTCACCTGTTACAAGGTAGCAGGGAGGTGATACAGAGCCTGAAGCCAGCATTCTTATTGTCCTTTCCTGGCCTTCCTCCCACCCCCAATTTTCTGTGCTCTTCTCTGGGGACCACAACTGCCCTTTGGTTTCACCTGCTGGAGATGCACTATTCTGATGCAATTGCTTGTTATGAATCACCATTTGCATCTCTTAAAATCCCACCAGCCTCTCCCGCCCCCCAGATTAGTTCACTCACATTACTTTCAATGCTAGTACTTGAAGATGTCATGTAACGGGACCCTGTCATTGTACACATAAGAAGACTGAGGCCCCGAGAAACTAAGTAATTCCTGAAAGCTCACCTGTCTTGTTAATGGTATCGTTTCTGAATTTTCCTATTTCTTTTTCCTGACAGCGGCTCTACCATCTTCCCAAATTCTTAGGCTCTTATCTTGGGATGATTTTTTGAAGCCTCCCTAATTTTTATTCCCTTTACAATATCAGCCACCAAGTCTTAATGATCCTTCTTTTTTTAAAAAAAATTTTAAATGTTTTATTTATTTCTGAGAGAGAAAGACAGCGTGAGCAGGGGAGGGTCAGAGAGAGAGGGAGACACAGAATCTGAAACAGGCTTCAGGATCTGAGCTGGCAGTCAGCACAAAGCCCAACACGGGACTCGAACCCATGAACCATGAGATCATGACCTGAACCGAAGTTAGACCCTTAACCGACTGAGCCACCCAGGCGCCCCAATGATCCTTCTTTCAAGGTTCTTCATATTGTCAACCCTCCTATATTTCAACTGTCTTCAGTACGTCATTGACCCATCCCTGTATTTCTAGGTTCCTGTGATAGCCTCTTTATCTGATTCACTTCCTTATCTGATCTACCAGTGATTCACAACTCTGGCTGCTCATTGCGTTGACCAGGGGCACACTTAGAAAAAAAATTACAGCATGCCTGGGCCTGTGCTCCCACCCATGGCCATCAATCCCCACCATCATGGGTTAAATGGTCTGGGGAGAAGCCTCTGTAGAAAGTTTTTAAATACAAGTTCCCCAGGTGTTTCTAACGAGTAGCCACGAGTTTGAAAACTCTTTCCGAAAAAAAGGAAAAGAAAACCTTTTCCAAACGTGTTCTTCACCACCCCTAAGATACTTTGGCCCCATCAGTGTGATGCTCAAGAATCTTCTGTGCCTCCTCATTGCTGTTGGTGTATAGATATCAGCCTCTTCCAAGCAGTCACAATTCTTGCACTTCTACTCCCTCTGCTTTTCAGAAGGTTACCCTGTGATGGGTCTGTGATGTGGGAAACAAAGGCAAGCTGAGGACAAAGCACATTCTAACAACCACCCCTCTCCCCAACCAAGGTGGGATATGTATGACATTCCTCATGTGCTCCTGGCTGCCCAAGAACAAAGGGATAGGAAAAACAAATGGTTAACTGATACGCTTACCTCCCACATGACATGGTTCTCTATCAGTTTGTAACTATTTTGATACTTGACAAGAAAAAGTTCTATCAATAGCTAGGCCTCCAGGATCCTGTAAGTCTACTTTAGAATATGAAAGTCCTTTTCAGGAGCACCTGGGTGGCTCAGTCAGTTGAGCATTCTACTTTTGGTTTTGGCTCAGGTCATGATCTCACATCTTCATAGGTTGGAGCCCCGCATCGGGTTCTGCACTGACAGCATGAAGTTTGCTTGGGATTCTCTCTCTCCTTCTCTCTCTGCCCCTCCCCCATTCCTGCTCTCTCTGTCTCTCTCAAAATAAATAAACTTAAAAATAAAAGTCCTTTTGAAACCTTCTCCTCATCTTTACTTCCCCTAACTCCCAAGTATATAATCAATCACCCCACACAAGCCCAGTGCAGCTCTTTCTCCCCACGAGTCCTGTCTCCGTGCTTTAATAAAACCACTATTTTGCACCAAAAACATCTCAAGAATTCTTTCTTAGCTGTTGGCTAGAACC